AGCAAGAATTTGACCTCAGGATATAATATATGTAACTTTTGTAGAGCACCACAAGGGGTTCTACAGGCAAAATATTTAAACTAAACTTTAGCGAAAAGGATTTTTAAGACATTTTTTCTATACAAGTCTATGTAAACTAAGTGATTCTCAGGCTATTGTCATTTTTGACCTTAGCTGTAAAAGGTGGCCAATTTTTAACTTTAGTGTTGTTATATTTTGCTGGTCCTTCGGGGTCAATGGTTCGAGCACATTAAGTGTTGAAGATTGTAGTTTCGTAAAGAACACTTAAATTTCTGTCATATACAAGTCTTTATAAACTCACTGACCCTTAGGTTCAGGCAGTTTTACCTCAAGGGCGTCATTCATATAACTTTTATAGATACTTTATGCAAAATATCTGAACTCTGGGCATCTTTTTTTAGAGAAGAAGATTTTTTTCAGATCAGATATTTTAACTATACGAGTCTATAAAATTATGGACCCCAAAAAGGACAAGGCCATTTCTTTACCAAATATGCAAAACTTACATAACTTTTGTAGATGTCCACTAGGCAATGTAACTTGCCAAATATCTAAGCTTTAGTGATTGTAGTTTCACAAAATAAAGACTTTTGGGTGGGGGATCAAAGGGGCATTATTCATATACCTTTTGTTGTGGAGCACAAGGTGAATTAAACTCTTAGGATTGTACTTTCAGAGAAGATTTTAAAAACATTTTACTGTAAAAGTCTATGTAAACTAAACGTTTTTGACTCAAGGGGCTTGACTAACATACCATGTAAAGATATATACTAGGCAATGCAATTAGCTAAATATCTGAGTTCTTGAATCCTACATCCAAAATATCTAAATTTTGGACATTGTACTCTCAAAGAAGAATAGTTTTGAGAAATTTTTACTATACACGTCTATGTAAAATAAGTGAAGATATGGGTTGCGTTGGTAGAAAGTCTTTAGTCAAAAATATGTCAGAAGACCAACAAACTGAGACAATTTTCGTTTCAAAGAAAATGTCCTAACTTATAACTTTTATGTTAAGACTCTTCTTTTTAAGACTAGCGATGCACATTTACGCATTGCGGAATGCAAGGCGTGCCATTGTTTGTTGTAACTTTTCCCATGAGAATGTATTAAATGAAAGTCTTAATCTTTTACTGAAGATGAAAATATTTATTGAAACGGTCCTAAGTAAGTCCAGTAGTTAGGACTTTCCATGGAACCTATTCATGAATCTTTAAAGCCAAAAGTCTAGGTCATTGTACGGCGGGGAAGATGAGAACCATTAATAAGAGAAGGAAGTAGCCTTTAATAGGCTATTGGTGCCAAGCAAAGATCCTGCCTTTCAAGTTGTCAAACGTGTTACGGCTCGCGCACCTTCGTCGACTCTGCCTACTTTGTAGGGCCACATCCCTCGGCTTAAGTCAGGACACCAACAGGTGATCCCATACAGTCTTAGCCGTGCCTTCTTTAACATAACCCGGTCCGCAGAGCGTATGACATCTTACCGCCTTAAACGTCATGGAGGATCTGGTATAATCATCTGCCGGTGTCCTTGCCTTTTCAACGACATACCGGGAGGGAAGGTGAGGGAGAAATAAAAAAGAAGACTAAAATGTAAGTTAATATAAACTAAATGAGCCATAGGATGGGACCCTTTTCGACCCTATTGGCATAATTGTCCCCAGCCTTTTCGGAGAAAAAAGGGGGATATAGAAATAGGCTCTGTCCGTCCGTCCGTCTGTCCGTCTGTCTGTCCGTACAAACCAGAGCTACATTATGGGGTTTAGTCTATTGTTCTCATAACAATAGATGTCTTTGATGTCATTCATTCCGTTTCTCTTGTGGGGTTATTTTCTGCATTGTGGGATTAAAAAGAACAAAAGAAATAATAAAAGAAAACCCCATAATGTAGCTCTGGTAAGAACGTCCGTCCGTCACACTTTCGTGTCCGGTCCATAACTTTGTCATTTATCAAAGGAATCTGAAAGAACTTTGCACAAATGTTTGTTATAATAAGACAATGTGCCATGCGCAACAACCAGACCCCTACCTCCAGGGTCAAGGTCGAACTTGCTCATTCAAGATCAACATTGTCTATTTCAGGGTATATGCCGTGTCCGGTCCATAACATTTTTTATCTTTGAAGGGATTTTGTAACTACTTACGACAGTTGCTCACAATAATGAAAAGATGTGTCATGCACAAAAACCGGTCACCTACCTGTAAGGTCAAGGACACACTTGGAGGCCAAAGATAAACATAGTCTGTTACAGGATATATTTCGTGTCCGATCCATAACTTTGTCATTTATCAAAGCAATTTAAAATAACTTGGCACAAATGTTTGCTATAATAAGACAATGTGTCATGCGCAACAACCAGACCCCTACCCCCAGGGTCAATGTCGCACTTGCTCATTCATGGTCAACATTGTCTATTTGAGGGTATATGTCGTTTCGGTCTATAACTTTCTTATCTTTGAAGGTATTTTGAAAATACTTGCCACAATTGTTCACAATAATGAGACAATGTGTCATGCGCAACAATCGGTCACCTACCTTCAAGGTCAAGGTCACATTTTGAGGTCAAAGATTAACATTGTCTGTTGTAGGGTATATTTTGTGTCCGGTCCATAACTTTTTCATATATCAAAGGATCTTAAAAATACTTGGCACAAATAGTCACTGAAATAAGACGATGTGTCATGCGCAACACCTGCATCCCTACCTCCAATGTCAAGGTCACATTTCGAGATCAAAATTTGACATAGTCTGTTAAAAGGGTATATATTGTGTCCAATCTAGAACTTCTTCATATTTCAAGGGATTTTTAAATATCTTGGCACAAATAGTCACAATAATAAGACGATATGTCAAGTACAACACCTGCATCTCTACCTTCAAGGTCAAGGTCTGTTATATGGTATAGTGTGTGTCCCCTCCATAACTTTTTCATAGATCAAGGGATTTTAAAAATACTTGGCACAATGATAAGATGATATTTCATGCGTAACAACAGTGTCCTTTCCTCCAAGGTCAAGGTCACATGTAGAGGTCAACGATTTACATAGTCTGTTATAGGGTATATTTTGTGTCCAGTCCATAACTTTGTCATATATCAAGGGTCATGCACAAAACTTGCACCCCTACCTCCAAAGTCAAGGGCACACTTAGAGGTCAAAGCTTAACATGATAGATTTTTAAATTCAGTGTTTTATTTTCTTTTTTTGATAAATTTATTGTTGCGTTTGCAGATCTAGCATTGATCATAATTTTGGACTGAAAGTCCTTAAATCCATCCATACGTCAATCTTTTAAAATAGCACAATTTCATGCATCATATAAAACTTCCCCGAGGCGGGGGACGTTGGTAACTCTGTTACAATTCTTGTTAACATAACATGATTATAACATTTGAAGAGGACCACAAGGTAATGTTACATGTCAAATAGTAATGTAAAAGTCCCAGGTAAAGTAAATTTATAGTTATAAAAGCTAACAGAAACTACATGTATTTATGACATCGAAATCGAAAATAAATACAAGGGACTTTGAATTCTTTCATGTGAGGAAGCTATCCAGCTAGCTTACGGAACGTCGGTGGTTTTACTCAGGTGCCCGTTCGTGCCTGAAATAATGCACGGAAGGGCAACTGAGGTCTTCCTCCACCAGTAAAGCTGGAACGTCGCGATATGACCTATACTGTGTCGATGTGACGTAAAACCCAATCAAACAAACAAACAAGGTAATGTTACATGTCAAATAGTAATGTAAAAGTCCCAGGTAAAGTAAATTTATAGTTATAAAAGCAAACAGTAACTACATGTTTTTATATATTTATGACATCGAAATCGAAAATAATAACAAAAAATATTAACCTATCGACGGTATTTAGATAAACAAACACGGTTTTTTTATGCAGTCTTACCAAACTCTATTCTGCTGTAAAAGATTCAGTAAAGAAACACTAGGCTTTGAAATAATTTTGTTACATACCCAAAACTGGGCATCAGTCAAAACCAGTATTCAATATATATATGTATACATAAAGAAAACTATTTTACCTATAAATTTTGGCGGTTGAACAGATCTAATATTAAGACAGTCACCGATTTTATGAAAGTTAAAAATTGATCAGTCAAAAATCGTTTTAGTAAAGTCATTTTATTATGTAATTTAAAGGAGATCCACCAAGGGCCAACAAATACAACAAAAATACATAAAATTAAAATGTTTTACAGAGATCAATCAGGGCAAAAAAACCCCAAGTGAAATACGATAACAATGAAAAAGATACCATAATGATATCTAGTGCAATGCTTAGCCGGTTGAGTTAAAGGTCAGTATGACTAATTAAAATGATTTTTTTGAAAATAAAGGAATAAGCAAAACGATCTAAAATTGTGCGAAAATTTAACTGTTAAAAGTCTACATCAAATGGTACAAAAATTTGAAAAACGTTTAGTTATATAATTTTACTACTGGTCTTTAATATTTTTCTTTCACTGTCATCTCATATAAATCTTTCGAGCTTTTTCTGGTTAATGGAGTATAAGATATACTTAACTTGATTTAAATTGAAATGAAATACTCCTAAGCTGGTGAAATTAGAAGAATTATCTATATAAGAATTGTAAATAAATCAGGAAAAGTCACTTTGCTAAGCCGTACAGCTATGATAATGCTTATAAATCGACAAAAAATAATCTTCATTAGTGCAAAGAACAAACAGAATAAGGCTTATCAACTATTCAAGAGCATTTTTTAAATATTCACTTAACAGACAGTTAATTAACATACATTAAACATATTCGACTTATTCTAAATTGTTTGGTTGAAAAATATATATTTACAAATATTTGTTACGAATACTAACATGTAAATTGAGACATTTGCCATCAATGGTGTACATTATTAAGATAGGAAACTAATTCTATATTTTGTAAGTCCGGGCAATGCATCATATCATTCAATAATGTTTCTTAAAATGAAAACTATACCCCTATACTGCCCGTATCAGTACACCTGAGAAAGAAGATAAGTCGTTTTCTTCATAATCTAATTTAGAGAATTCACTTCCACCAACTAGAACATGATCACCTTTTCGAGCCAAGGCAACTGCGCTAAATGACGTACATTTTGTATCTGTAGCTCTCTCTGGCACTTCAAACTCCCCGGTAACAATCACATTACTGCCAACCTTTATGTAGTATTCAATGTCTTCTGCGCTTTTCAAGCCACAAACGTGTGCATTAAACTGATAAATCCCGGTAGTTGGTGCTGTGAAAATTCCCGTAACATTGTTGTAGGCATTGCCGTCGTTCAATAAAATATTTGAAAATATAATTGGTTTAGTACCCGTGTAGCTCACTGCATCCATTACATTAAATGCTACAGTCTCTGAAATATGTTAAATTATGCTTTTTAAATTAGAAATTTGCAGTCACAAAGGTTTTAGGGATTCTGTTTTACTTTATATAATGGCATTAAAAAGTGAAGATTATTGCATTTTAGAAATATCACACACCAAAAATACAAACAAATAAAATGATGAGTGTGTCAAAATTAAAAAGTGACTGATTAATCATGCAAATGATTGAATTAAAACAATTTTTAATCCATTATAGTAAAGAATACATAAAAGATTTTCTCTAATCTATTTATGTAATAAAAATACAAAAAATGAACAGATACTGTTTTTAGAATGAGAGAAGAAATCATATAGCCAGTGTTAGCCTCACATATGATTTTTGTGCTAAGATGCTGTGACTTTATAAATTTGCTGTTATGACGTGCTTCTTAGTGATACAGGCATCTTAAGAAGACGAATTATGATAGAAACAAAATTAACAAGAAGTTTCTTTTAAAAGATATTTGGCGAAGGTTAGACTGCAAATCTGATTTTATTTACAAAATATCTATGAAACTCAAGAAGAAAGTAACTTTTTGAAACTCCTTTCGATTTATTTAAAAATAAGACGCGTAAACCATTTCAGAAAGATTCTTTATAATATTTTTTAAGAATGACCAACGAGACCCATTTTTCACTTTGTAATTTTTAAATGACCAACGTAATTCGACCTATTTGTGTTCAGTATGTCTCTGTAAATTTAAAAGGAAGTCAAATTGTTTTTAGACGTCTTTGGCCGAAAAATAAGACGTGTAAACCATTTTAGAAAGATCCTTTATATAAATGATTTTTAGAATGACCAATTAGGTACCCATATGGCAGTTTGCAATTTTTAAATGACCAATGCTATTCTATTTGTATTAAGTCCTTCCCTGTAAATTTTACAGGAAGTCAAATTGATTTCAGACGGCCTTTGGTCGAAAAATTAAAAATTAGACTAACGTGTTTTTTTCTCCGTTGCCTGATCCAAATCTTTTTATTTGCTTTTCCAAAGCCGCATACTTGTTCGACAAGTCTAAAAGTCCATCATTGCAAGTGGATTTTACCTCACCTGTAACTGTCTTTAAGTCATCTAAACCGGAAGTACTCTTCTCAAGATCTTTCTTAATATTTTCTACATTAAGTGCCAAGCTCTCTAAAACAAGAAAAAATAAGAAATAAACCAATGCATTGCATCTAATATATATACGTTATATCTATTATTTATATCTTGAAGAAAATCATTCGAATGTATCTGTATTGAAAGGAACATGTTCGTAATTGTCCGTTCCATGTACAAAGGATTGCGTATGCGTGAAATCGTCGCTAAACATACTGAGCAAATAATGAACAAATGCAAATTTTGTAAGTGAAGGAAACACTTTAACCTGTGTTGTTATGTAATTGATGTGCATTAAATGGAATGCCACTGTGTTTAATCTTTTTCCGAACATATCATTTCATTTATGAAAAAGAAACGTGATTTTACAATGATTTTATTATTTACCTTACATGTATTTTGGGCTGAAAATAGCTCTCAATATTTTGTACAATGAAAAAGATTTATTGTTCGCCTCAAGCTGTCCTATTTATATCTTTGATGTACAAATCGTTATTTTTTAAGGAAACTTATTCTGATATGCATTTATCTGTGCATGGTAATAAAAGAAGGAAATGAAGGGCCTTTATGATTATTGAAAAACAATAATTTCCCTACATCACATCTACATATACATTTTGATTTAACGTCCTCACACTAGAATGATTAACAAGAACGAGCATGAAACCGTAAGCTCTTTATCAATATAATATGTACAATTTACTAGACGAGTTTCTGCACAACACAGGAGTGATTAGCAGATAAGTATTTAGTGAGAGCTTAGTGTAAAGTTTTACCTAATTATTACAGTAAGGTTTAATAAAATCTTGCCCTGAAATCTATGATCGAAATAAAACAACCTGTTTGTAACATATAAGCTAACATTCAGTGTTTTGACCAATTATTTAGCTGCAACCAACAAAACCTAGCAGCCATTCTTCCCGTAACACTTTTCCAAGCTTATCATTTTCGGATAAGTGTTTTGACTTACTGGATTTTAACGTTCATAGTTATTTCATTATAACGATTTTTATGTTGAATTGGTCAATATTTGACATGTTATTATTTATTATGTGAGGGTGGCATTTATTTTGTAAAGTAATATCAAATTAGTTCTAAAACTTCAATGCTATTTCAAGTCCACTTTTATGAAGTCGATATTGAATATTAAATATATGATGATACTTTTTAAGTAATTAACTTTGATTCCATTCTTAAATTTTAATGAAAAAGGAGCAAGGTAATTTCATTATTAAATGTAACCATAACATGAAATCGCACCAGCACGAAAAGATGACGAATATATTTGATTAATCAAAAAAGAAATTACGAAACGCGGAATACAGAATCAGACGCATATGTTTATGCAAGAAAAACGCTAATTCAACTTATATTCATGCATTAACATCTGAAGAAGCCCTCGGACTCGCAGGCGCGAGCTTTAATGCGTCCTTGTGCTTTCTGTAGAAAAAGCGGATTTAACCATTCATTTTGATATAATCTATGCGCATTTAAAAGCATGGGTATTCAATCTAGATATGACCATAGGAATATGAAATGAACGTAACTGTACTTTTTTATTTAACTCGCCAGTCATAGCTTCATCATACCCTACTGCTGTACGTATACATGTATCAGCGAAAAGGGAGACAACATAATTATTTAGTTCAACTTAATTCTTTAAGGGTTGTTCGCACTGTCAAACTTAGTCCAAAACCAACCAAGCCGGTAATTTATAATTCTTACAAAGATCAAACAAACGGGGAAATTTTGCAAATTTTAATTTAAGTGAAATACGTTTAAATGTATGATTTTTGTGTCATTTTGTATAATTACAAAATTACAGTGATTACTTTAGAAAAATGCGGATATTTTAAATTTTGCACAGAAGTTATCGGTCAGGTCCTATAAATAAAAACTCGCGAAAAAAAAATGCTAGTCCCATCATTTAAAAAAACTCATGTACACATACGCATGTTTTCAGATACTATGCTTTTGTTTGCCATGGTCTCACTCAAAACGTTCGTCTGTCTTTCCAAATTGTCTATCTTGTCTTGCTTCCGATTATTCGCTTTTATTTCCCTAAATAACAATAGAAACACTCTTTTCTACTTCTTTTTGCATGTTTTCCACAAAGAATTCCATGCGCAGCATTTTCTCAAGTAATTGTTCCTCATATGAAAACTTCCTTTAAACACACGGGCTCCACGGGTATTGATTCAATTAATTTAAGCTGACATATGAATAGCACTGCAAATATTTACAATTTTAAAAACAGATTTTCAAAACTTGCCATTTTGATTGCAGTGTAAAGATAATACTTTCTGTTAAAAAGATATGGGGTTTGTTTGCCGGATTTACTTTTTATGAGAAGGTGGTCGTAGAAATCTGTTGCAATCATGTGATCTGAAATTTGAATAACCTTAACATAGCCTTACATCATTTTGGTAAATGATGTTTATTTATTGCAATAGACATGCATACAAAATAAAGTTAGTGATTGCGAATGTGGTGTGAGTGTAGAACAAGTTTTTAACTAAAACCAAAGACACATTCTAAATCTTGATTGCCAAGTACGTGCAGCATTTTCCAACGGCAACAGGAAACATGTATTGGTGATTCATTTTTTTTTTTGGAAAATAAAACTTTTACGAAACAACTACAACAAAACCGACAAAACATACACAATTAAAGTTATGGAAAAAACAACAACAAAGCAACAACAACAACAACAAAAAACTCCCATAAAAGATAACAACAATAATGATGCTCAACACAGACAAAACTATAATATTTCATAATTCAGTACTCTAAGGGTGACTTACATAAGGAGATAAAGCAATTAGCATTTTTTACTTCAATACCTGTTTGACAATTTTCTTACTTACTTCAAAATTTTATTGCATTAAACAAATACATGTTTATAGCAAGTACAAAATATATAAACACAAACAACACAAGTACATGGATTTTTTCAGAAGAGCCTTACAATCATATGAATAAAATACAGATCACATTTGATAGGATTAATTTCTTAAAGTGTTAGCATGATATATAAATTTGCTTAAACCATTAATTACAGTTAACGATGATTCAGACATTAAATTGATAAACTTTTGCTTAGTCGGCCATGTGTAGTAATACCGTTTAAGATACTTTTTTCTCAAATCGGAGAACTTCGGGCAAATAAGTAAAAAATGATATTCATTCTCTATTTGAATAAATTGACAATTTTCACAAAAACGTTCATTTCTTGGAATATTACGATATCTTCCATATTCTATAGCTAAATTGTGTGACGATGTTCTGAATCTAGATAAGGCTATTCTATACTTTGGTTCTTTAATTACACTTAAGTATTTTTCTAAATCAAAAGTATGTTTAAATAAACTGTATGTATCAAGACGAGGTGAATTATTTATCAAGGTATACCATTGTTCGTAATACAAACTAAGAATTCTGAATTTAATTGCTTTAAAATCTACCTGTATGCTATATTGGTTTTCCCATACAAATATTAATCCAGATTCATCTAATATTTGTTTAATAGTGTAAGCCCAATTTTTACCATTATAAGATTGTCCATTGTCAGCATCAATTCTTAACATAGAATATGTTTTAAAAAGGATAGTACTTTCTTGAAGCGATAATAACTTAATCCAATATTTAATCATAATTATTTTCCGTTGAATATACATAGGTGTTCGACCAAGTTCGCCATATAACGCTTCTCGGTTTGTGGATAATTTAGTTCCTAAAATTTTTCTACAAAATTTACAATGAATAACTTCGACAGCGGGTGCGATGTGTGATCCCCATACCTCCGCCGCGTAATTTAAAGTTGATGATACGAGAGAATCAAACAATTTTATTTGCTGTGAAACGGGTAAATCTACTTGATTAAAGATAATAAACAAATTATGAAGAGCGAAAGACGCATGTTGTGCTATACGTTCCTGCGTTCTATTCCATTGTCCGTTTTTGAATAGATGTACACCTAGATATTTAAAGGATTTGACAACTTCGATTTTTGTGTTATATAAGTAAAAATCATAATTTGTGTGACGACCGTTTTCAAAAATCATTATTTTTGTTTTAAACATTAAGTTTTCAAATTGTAATTATTACAGTATAATTCTATATCGTTTAATAATGATTGTAATGTTTTAGGGTTTTTAGAAAAAAATCGCAGCGTCATCTGCGAACAATAATAGAAATATTTGCATATCAAA